TGCTTCTCCCTCTCCCACTCCCCCTGCTTGTATTCCCTCTCTCGCTGTGTCTCTCTCTGTCAAATAAATAAATAAAATCTTTAAAAAAAAAAAAGGAAACTGCAGACTTTAATATTTCTTATTAAGTATGTGTTTAATTTGCTTTTCTGGGACTCCACTTTAGAAGCAGTATATTGTTTGAAAATTCTTGGTGAGTTGAAGAGAAGTCATTAAGCAAAAGTTCTTTATTTTCACTGTCCCACTCCTTAATATATTCAATTTTTATCCCAAACAGCTGTGTAAGACTTATTGTATTTTTACAGTGCCTTTATTAAAAGAGGCTTTACAAGCAACAGTTATAATTGTTACTTTGTCCGCCTAGAGATCTTTAAATCCCACCAATATAGTAAGATTAGGAGTAAATGAGAAATATGCCTTTGAAATGTGGAAGATAACTATAGGCATGTTCTCAGGTATTTCAATTTTAGGGAAGAGAGTGTATGGGAAATGAGTATCTAGAGATTGAATCTTTTTTAAAAAAAATCTCTTCTTGTATGTCTCTTTGAAAATAGCTGGGTAACACCAGGCTTATGTGTTCTTCAGTTCGAATATCACTAATTTAGTGATACAGATTTACTAGAAGACTGCATCTAAAGAGTATCAAAGGAGTCAAATATTTTAATTAAAACATTTCAAAATAATTTGTTGTTCAGGATATGCTTTGGACTGATAGGTAAATAATCATTCAAATTAATTGTTTGGTTTCATATAAACCAGTTTGGTAACTGACCAACAAACTTAGTTTTGTGCCAGTAAATAAACTGGCTTAATAGCTAAATGTATTTATTTATCTACTCAATTGCCCATCTCAAAAATTAAGTTTTGAAGAAGTGTATTCAGTGCTGTGGGTTTCTTGTTGGAGAGGAGGCATGGTTTAATGATTTCTTTGTGTTGAACAGATAGGTTTAACTCTTTTGGCCATTGAATTTAAATATGTATGTTGATTACTTCTATTTCATTTGCCTTAAGGTCCCATTCCAAAACATTTAAGTTTAATATTTTCCATTTCTCATTTATCCCGTAATCTTTACTTATTTTCTTATATTCTGAACTGAAAGAACCAGATTTTCCGATCCTCTCAAAGCATGCAAACATTGAAAATGATTTGAAGGGAAGAGCCAAATTATGCATACTGAATATTTTAGGTAACATTTGAATTATTTTAGGTTTTTTATTGAAGAAATGCTAAATTCTAAATGCCACCTTCTTCTTCAGGATATGGAGCTGTTGAACATTTTCAGTTGTTTTTGGAAATGAACAGAATGCCATCACCTTGAATTTTGTCATGACCTTGATCATGGTTGAAGTTTAGGATTTAAGCTATGGTTGTTCCTCCTTATCTGCAGTTCTGTTTTCACGTAGCGCCATTTCAGTTGCCCCAGGTCAGCCTTGGTCAGGAAGCAGATGATCCTCCTCCTGATGAATGTTTAGACTGTCCCTAGTAAACTAACTCTACCTCACAGTCATTCTGCTCACATAATCTCATCTCATGGGCATTTTATCATCTCACACCTTCTCAAAAAGAAGGTTAATTACAGTACAATAAGATATTTAGAGAGAGAGATAATTCACAACACTTTTTTACAGTATATTGTTATAATTTTTCTACTTTATCAGTTTTGTTAATTACTTACTGTGCCTAATCTATAAATTAGACTATCATAGATATGCATGTGTAAGAAAAACCGTAGTATGTATAGGTTTCGGTAATACTCACAGTTTCAGGCATCCTGGGGTTCTTGGAACATATACTCCATGGATAAGGATGGTGGATGAGTGTATTCAATATAGTCCTTTTTAGGGCGCCTGGGTGGCTCAGTTGGTTAAGCGACTGCCTTCGGCTCAGGTCATGATCCTGGAGTCCGGGGATCGAGTCCCGCATCGGGCTCCCTGCTCGGCAGGGAGTCTGCTTCTCCCTCTGACCCTCCTCCCTCTCATGCTCTCTGTCTCTCATTCTCTCTGTCTCAAATAAATAAATAAAATCTTTAAAAAAAAAAAAAATATAGTCCTTTTTAATTTAGCCCTTCATTAAATCCTGTCATGGAATGTAACATACTACCCCTTGCAAAGGGATGGTTTCCTTTTCATTTTCTTTATCAGTTTACAGAAGAGCATAAAATTTTCTTTTTCACTCACAGTTCGGAACATTTGGTAGAGGAACTGCTGCTGGAACTAGCTGTAGTAGTTAAAATATAGAATACTTCTTATATTACTTTTGCTGTAATAGGACGGGATACTGTGGCTTTTAAAAGAATATCCTTTCTCATCTTCTAAGAATTCTTTTCCTCATTTTTTTAAAAGTTTTTTATTTGAGTATAGTTGACACACAATGTCACATTGGTTTCCTGTGTACAGCTTAGGATTTGACAAGTTTTTGTTTTATGCTCTGTTCATCACAAATGTATCTATCATCTATCCTGTTACATCGCTATTACAATATCATTAACTGTTTTCCTTATGCTGTGCCTTTTATTCCCATGACTTATTCATTCCATAACTGAAAATCTATATCTCCCACTCCCCTTCACCCATTTTGCCCAGCTCCCCATCCCCTTCCATCTGGCAACCATGAGCATGTTCTCTGGATTTATAAGTCTGATTCAGCTTTCTGTTCATTCATTGTTTTAGATTCCATTTATGACTGGAATCATGATATTTGTCTTTCTCAGTCTGACTTATTTCACTTAGCATGATACACTAGGTCCAGTCATGTTGTCTCAAGTGGCAGTATGTCATACTTTTTATGACTGTATAATATTCCATTCTAGCTATCCACCACATTTTCCTTATTCATTCATCTATTGATGGACACTGAGTTTGCTTCCTTGTCTTGACTATTGTAAATAATGCTGCAATAGACACAGGGTTGCATATATCTTTTGGAGTTAGTGTTTTCATTTTCCCTAGCCAGAAATAGTTGAAATTTTGGATCAGGGTGTATATTTTTAATTTTTTGAGGAACATCCATACTGCTTTCCACAGTGGTGTTACATTCCCATCGACAACTTGGAGTATACTATTTATCTACAAATAATTCTTTTTAAATAAATCTTTAGTACAGATAAGTATCACATCAGCCCACGTCCTCATACTTAGAAATTCCTTACTAGTGATTATGAATAAACTTGAATCTCTTCTGCTTATTTGTTTTGCATATATTTTTCATCTTTATTGTGGTCAAACTGACAAAATGGTAAGAAATTTAAAGTGTACATTGTCGGGCAGAGTGGCTCAGTTGGTTGAGTGTCAGGCTCCTGGTTTCGGCTCAGGTCGTGATCTCATGGGTCATGGGGTCAAGCCCCACGACAGGCTCTGGGCTCAGCCGTGAGTCTGCTTGAGGATTCTCTCTCCCTGCCCCTCCCCCTACTCTTTCTCCCAAATAAATAAATAAATAAATCTTTTTAAAAACGTGTACATTGTGATGATTTGATGTACATATACATTGTGAAAGGATTCCTTCCATCTAATCAATGAACATATCCACCATCTCACATATTTATCTGTTTTTTATTGGTGAGAACATTGCAATTCTATTTCAGCAAACTTTAATTATACAGTACAGTGGTATTAACTATGGTCTCCCTGTTATACATTACATCCTCAGACCTTATTCACGTTATAGCTGAAATTTTGTATCCTTTTACCAACCTTTCCTTATTTCCCTCACTACCAAGACCCTGGCAACCACCTTTCTACTTTCTGTTCCTGTAAGTTGGAGTCTTTTTTAAAAGATGCCACATATAAGTGATAGCATGCAGTATTTGTCTTTCTCTGTTTGGCTTATTTCCCTTATCATAATCTCTTCCACATTCATCCATGTTGTTGCAAATGGCACGATTTC